GCCAACAAGGGCATCGGCTTCGCCATCGCGCGGGAGCTGTGCCGGCAGTTCTCGGGGGACGTGGTGCTCACCGCGCGGGACGCGGCGCGGGGCCAGGCGGCCGTGCAGCAGCTGCGGGCCGAGGGCCTGAGCCCGCGCTTCCACCAGCTGGACATCGACGACCTGCGGAGCATCCGCGCCCTGCGCGACTTCCTTCGCGAGGAGTACGGGGGCCTGGACGTGCTGGTCAACAACGCGGGCATCGCCTTCAAGGGTAACGGGGCGCGCGCGGGGCACCAGCGCCTCCGCCGGGTGGGCTGGGCGTGCCGGGGCGCCGCTCGGGCTCCTCCCACGCGTGGGGGGGTGCAAGCGGCTCCCAGGGGACGTGGGAGAGGGTGGGGGCAGGGGTGCCGCTGAGTTAAAGCAACAGGGACGCTGGAGAGCCTTCTGGTTCCTTGGCCGGACGCCTTGGCTGGCACAGTTTCTCGCGGTTTCGCCTTGAGCGTGGGGTGAATGGTGAATGGGTTTTTAAATAAACACGAACATTGCGTAAACCGGTTCACAGAGACCCCATGGTGCACCCTTCGCCCCGCTCCCGGGGCGGCACCATCCTAAACTCTATAGAAGGTCCTGGAACGAGGAAACGGCCACGGCCCAGCGCTGTTACCAGGCGCCCATGTTACACAAAGTCCACGTTTTATATCACGCTGTAGAATTTTCCTGTTTATTGACACCACTCTCCTTCTCTCCCGAAAGTGAATGACCCCACACCGTTTCATATTCAAGCAGAAGTGACGATGAAAACAAACTTTTTCGGTACCCGAGACGTCTGCACGGAGCTCCTGCCTCTCATGAAACCCCACGGTGAGTCTGGTGAGGGGCCCTTGCTGTCCCGGTCTGGCAGGACCTGCCCCTGCCTGCCCCTGACCTCGTCGTATCCAGGCCCCTCTCCCTGCTCAGCACCCTGCCTCCTTGTGTCTGCACCCGGCCAGGTGCCCTTCAGCCTCAGGACCTGGTACCACTTGTCCAGGGGTCACCGGTGCTCTCTGTCCCGCTGGTCTCTGCACAGCCGGCTCCCTCTTATCCGTCAGCTCTCTGTTCAGAATTCTCCTCGCGCCCTCCACACATTGGAGTCCCCTGAGGAGCCCATGCCGGACCCTCCTTCTTCCCTCCCCCCGTCCCCGAGTGACCTTACTCAGGTTCTTGGAGCCTTCACCACCACCAATTCACTGGGCCCCTAAAATCTTCTGCATCTGATCCCATGGTCTTTTCTTTGTACTCTACTGATACAGTGTGTTACGTTCATTGGTTTCTAGATGCTAAACCAACCGTACAGATCTAAGGTAAATGTCACTTGGTTTTCACAAGTGCAGGAGGTCCCCAAGACCACCCTCAGGTTCGAGAATCACTACAAGGACTCAGAAATCAGGGAGGCTGCTATACTCGAAATTACAGTGTACATGTCCGGCCAGGGTGGTCAGTTGGTTGGGCGTCATCCTGGGCACCAGGAGGTTCCTGGTTCGATTCCCAGTCAGGGCACGTGCCCAGGTTGTGGGCTCGATCCCCGGTAGGGGGTGTGCAGGAGGCAGCCGATTGATGTTTCTCTCTCATCGATGTTTCTATCTCTCTGTCTCTTCTCACTCTCCTTTGTCTAAAAATCAATAAGAACATATTTTTTAAAAAAATTACAATGTACAGTGTCATAGGAAATGGAGAGAGATTCAAATAGACAGTAGGGAAGCTCTCATCAGACAGGCCCAAGAAAGACCAGGTAAGGAGCTTCCAGTGGTCCTATCCCAGGGGAGTCTTGCAGACAGCAGCTCTGTGTGACAATATGCACAGTACTGCCAGCCAGGGACGCTCGCCCAGGCCTTGATCTCAGGCGCTTCTGCTGAGGGTTGGTCACACAGACGTGGCCCACTGTTCTCTTGGCTGACCTTCCTCTCCAGCCACCCCCAGAGGTCCAGCTAATACCAGGTAGCCTCACCATAACCATATTGTTAACATACATTGTGTAGCCTGAGCCTAATCTTCCCAGTAAACAAGGACAGTCTTAATCAGGCAGAACAGTCCAAAAGTTTAAAGATTATCCCAGCAGCCCTGGGCAGAGGGCCAAACCTTGCTTTGGCCCAGTGTATCCTTTAGGGTCATAGGCCACCCCCTGGAGCTTCGCCAAGGCTCTCTTCCTGCAAAAGGATCACACAGCCGTACACTTCGCCTAAAATTTATGTAACAGATACAGACATAGTCCAGAAGTGGGCCTGACATTTGGAGGAGCCAGGGTGGGGTGAGGAGAGGTTGGCAGGAGTGGGTAGTCCATCCTATAAAGCCACTGCAGACATTTTCAAGTTTTTGTCTTCATTTGATCGACTGCCATTTATACTTTACCTAGCATACAACTATTTTTGCAGAACTATTTAGTATTTTTTTAAAAACNCAGACATTTTCAAGTTTTTGTCTTCATTTGATCGACTGCCATTTATACTTCACCTAGCATACAACTATTTTTGCAGAACTATTTAGTATTTTTTTAAAAACATTTTTGTTGATTTCAGAGAGAGGAAGGGAGAGGGAGAGAGAGAGAAACATCAATGATGAGAGTCACTGATCGGCTGTCTCCTGCACGCCCTCCACTGGGGATCGAGCCTGCAACCCAGGCATGTGCCCTGACTGGGAATCGAACCCTGACCTCCTGGATCCGAGGTCGATGCTCAGCCACTGAGCCACACTGGCCAGGCCTATTCAGTATTCTTAAGAGATAAACTAAGGCATATCAAAAAATTAAGAGTTTATTTGAGAAAAAAATCTATTTGAATCGGGAAGCAGCAAACTGGAAGTGGTTAGGAATTCGCCGCCGACAGGTGCTTGGGAAGAGACTATTGTAGAGAAAAGGCAGAAGCAAATTAAGGAAATTACTGATTGGCTATAACTTCCAGCCTCGTTGAATGTCTGTGATGCATGGTCCTTAGGTTTCAGCTTTGTAACCTTGAGGCATTTACAGGCTTAGATTTTAGTTCACTTAGGTGGGCCACCATGATATTAGGGCCTTGTTTCATTAATTTAACAGGTCAGAAATTAGCTGGTGGCTGCCTAAATCCAGATCCTCCTCTGGCCAGTTCCTCCTCACCTCCCACCAGTATTACATCCTGAGGAGACTTTAACTCAGGCTCCCACTACATCTGATCACTGATGACAGTATCATCACGGAACCCATGTACGTGTGGTGACTGAAATTACAACCCAGCTGGAGTTGCCCTATCACAGCGCAGCTGTGCATGGAATCTGGCGGGTTAAGGGTCGAGAGGTGCCGGCACATCCCTGGCATCCGGCTTACTCATTACCAGTTGGTTCAGGTCATCGCCGTTTCATGGGACCCTGTCTCTCAGAGCCACGCCGCTCAGGTGTGCGGGCGCCCTTTCTGCCTCATCAGGCCCCAGGAGCAGGAGTGGTCCCGGCAACACGTGGTTTCACCCTTCCTGGCCCCTGGTGTCATTGAGCCAAGAGACGATGTCACCTGGCGGGGCCACTGCACATCGGACTTCTCGCATGGCCTATTTCATTCATTCCCCGGCCCTCGGCCGCCGTCCCTGCTTCTCCCCATTGTCATTGAGCTTTACTTAGACTTTTTCACCTTCCAGAGGGACGTGAAGTTCAGCCGCAGTGCCGATCCTGACTGCCTGCTGGACGCTGGTCTACCACGTGCCCTCCCTCCAGTCCACGGCCGTTCATGTAGGGCGGGGTCGCACAGGCCACAACCGGCGGGCTGTCTCCACCCCTCGGGACAGCTGCACTTGCTCCCACTCCAGGGTTTTTTTTCCCCATTGCTTTTCAGAGAGAGTGGAAGGGGGAGAGAGAGAGAGAGAGAAACATCGATGTGAGAGAGACACGTCGATTGGCTGCCTCCTGAACGAGCCCGAGGTTGGGGCTGGGGATCGAGCCTGCAACCGAGGTACATGCCCTTGGCTGGATTTGAACCTGCAGCCCTTCAGTCTGCGGGCTGACGCTTTAACTACTGAGCCAAACCGGCCAGGGCTCGGCCACTCCAGTTTGGCCGCATAGGGTGAAAGCACAGTCCACTCCATCAGGCCCTTAGGACCTAAAGGTTTAAAACTACAGTGACAGTTTCTTGCTTAGGGCCGATCCCTGCTTCCCGTATCTGCATTCGCAGCCCCAGTTCCAAGACCGCAGTGTCAGGTAGGAAAGAAGAAAGATGAGACGATGTGGGGAAGAACTGTGCAGTCGCCCCAGCATCCTCCCGGCACCCCCATTCCCCGAGAAGCAGGAGACTCTCCAGTGGGGAGTCTCCCTTGGCCCCCTTCATGTTGAGGGGAGCGCATGCTTGTTAGTGTGTGTAAGCCACTTCCTCACGCCTGTATCTCCTTGTGTTTGACACGAGCACTGTTTCAGTGCCTCCTTCCAGCTCTCCTCCAACCGCTGCCCTGAGGGTGCAGGGGTGTTGCCCCGTCTGCCGGTAAAACTTGTCCATCCACATTGGTGCAGTGCCTTCTGGTCCAGGAGGCACCGCCCGGCCCGGAGATTGTGGCTCACCTCCGGCTACTGCCTTCAACCTGACTTGCCAGCTCCGTGCAGGGCCTTCCCCCCCGGGGAATCTCTCCCATAGCCACCCGCAGTCTCTGTCTCACTCGCTGTCAGGTAGGACGGTCCTCAGCATTGTGTGCCTCGGAGGGTGCGGGAGTCACATGCCCACAGTGACCCCACCTCTGCATCACTGCAGCGGCCCCCCTCCGCTTCATCGGCTGCTCCCAGGCTGATAAAACCCAGACACGGAGAAGCCGGCCTGCAGTTCATCCCACTGAACTAACCTGTCCCCTCCCTCGATCGGGGCAGCAGCCTTCCAAGCCGGGTATTGTCCGTTCCCCTTAGAGCTGCTCTCTGTGGGTCCGTAGACACCTGTTCACAGAGCCCTGCACAAGTGACCGTAAGATCCTCAGGTGTTCCCCAAGACAGTCTTCGGGGAGAAGAGGCTACCTACTCCTGAATGTGATGAGTACCCCCCCCATTAAAACATTTCTCTCACGTCAGGGCTCATGCCCGGGTTGCAGGCTCGATCCTCAGTGGGGGGCGTGCAGGAGGCAGCCGATCAATGACTCTCTCATCACTGATATTTCTATCTCTCTTCCTTTCTCTTCCTCTCTCTGAAATCAACAAAGATATGTGTGTGTGTGTGTGTGTGTGTGTGTGTGTGTATATATATGGTTTTTTTTTTTTCTTTTTAAATATATCTTTATTGACTTCAGGGAGAGGAAAGGAGAGGGAGAGAGAGACAGAAACATCAACGATGAGAGTCATTGATCGGCTGCAGCCCGCAACCCGGGCCTGTGCCCTGACCGGGAACCGAACCCCGATTGCCTGGATCCTAGGTCGATGCTCAACCGCTGAGCCACGCCTGGCCGGGCAAGATACATTTTTTTAAAAAAACACAAAAAACATTTCTCTGACATACTAAGACAGGGTTCTAGACCGTCTCTGTCCCTCACTCGTAGAGGCATAGAGGTAGTCAGTCCCCCCTGATGCTCACAGCACGCCGGACATTTCTCAGACGGAGATTTCCTGGTCCGGAATCCCAGCAAACTCGGCACCCGTCCCTCGGGCGTGCCTCTCTGCATAACGATTTCTGTCGCCTTTTAGGCAGAGTGGTGAACGTGTCTAGCATGGTGAGCCTCCAAGCGCTTAAAAACTGCAGCCCGGAGCTGCAGCAGAAGTTCCGAAGCGACAGCATCAGCGAGGAAGAGCTGGTGGGGCTCATGAACAAGTTTGTGGAAGACACGCGCAAGGGGGTGCACCAGAAGGAGGGCTGGCCAAACACCGCGTACGGAGTCACGAAAATCGGCGTCACCGTCCTGTCCAGAATCCACGCCAGGAACCTGAGCCAGCACAGGAGAGGGGACAGGATCCTCCTGAATGCCTGCTGTCCGGGGTGGGTGAGAACCGACATGGCTGGACCCAAGGCCACCAAGAGCCCAGAAGAAGGAGCCGAGACCCCTGTGTTCCTGGCCCTTCTGCCCTCGGACGCCGAGGGGCCTCACGGACAGTTCGTGATGGAGAAAAAGGTTGAGCCGTGGTGAGCTCGTCCCGCAGCTCCCTCCGCGGGCCCCGTTGTGATCTGGCCTGAATTGACCCAGAGGACGTGACACCGTCAAATAATTTCTATCCGGGTATCTTTATAAAGTGTTCGTTTCAGTTGGCTACTAATTCTGCGGGTCTGACTTCCTCTGTGACGGGAGGGAAGGGGGGTGGGCGCAGTGCGTGGGAGTCAGCAGGTGAATAGATGGTTCTCTCTGCAGGTCCTTCCTGCAGGTCACTTACACGCAGAACTCGCTCAGACATCTGACAGGCCTAAGAGTTAGGTCAGGGAAGGGACAGTGTGACTGAGGGGCTGGCAAACATTCCAGAAAGAGCCTGAAAGTAAATGTTTTCAGGGCCACAGTGTCCTGGAGTACTCAGATCTGCGGTGGTAGTGTGAGAGGGGCCAGTTTCTAACCAGTGAGCGGGCGGGCCTTTATAGACCTCCCTTAGCTGTGACCTGCAGCGAAACCAGCAGTAGGCACTTCAAGCGTACGGGATGGTGTAACCGTGAGACACACATGGGACCCGTGGCCTGGCACACAGTCAGAACTTCACAAATGCTCCCGCTTTGGAGGGACATGCTAAGAGGGAGGAGCTCTTCCCACACGGAAAATAACCGCAGGACCTATTTCTTTCATCCTGTCTTGGCTGCACTTGAGAAGGGAAGGGGGTCTGTCCTCAGAAGCACTTCCCTGTCTAAACCGTTCACTGCATTTTAGGATAAAGCAAACGTTCCCATTCTGGATGATGGGGCCAAGCCCAGAACGGCTGCCCCCACGCTCCTTTTTCACCTTTTGGGGCTCTCCCGAAACAGTCTCTTTAGTTGAACTGCCGTCCGTCTCTCGCCCTCGATTAGCATCACCAGCCGGGGTGCTCTGGGGGATGCACACCCCTCCACCCCCGTCCACCGCTGGGCGCAGAGCTGGGATCAAAAGAGGGCTGGGTGTGCCCTGCTTGGGCCGATCGTACATCACAGGAAAGGGCGGGCGGGAACGGTGGCTTAGTCGGCCTGGAACATTCAGCCCCTCCCTGGAGGAAGGATGGAGGTGGGAGCAGTGGAGGTGGGCCTCTGAGTCTCGAGGTCACAGCCCTGGAACCGAGAACTCAGTTTTGTGCCACTTCTCTGATTGTCCTGGTCACCACAGCGCAACAACACCCCCTAACACCGTGACTACAGCGCTCTCTGCTCTCTGCAAGTGCCCCCACAACCCCACCCGGCCACGTCCTCCTACCTGCGGTGCCGGTGATTGCAGCCAATAAGGGCGTCGGCTTTACCATCACACGAGACCTGTGCCAGCGTGTCTGGGGGGTGTGGTGCTCTGAGAGAGGGACCTGGGGCACAGGCCGCAATCCCCAGACCCTAGTCTGGCCAAGCAGGGCTCTGGCCATGCTCAGCTCTCCAAGGATAGGCCCGGGTTTTGGGGGCTAAGCTCGGCTCTCCAGGGCTCCGAGGCTCAGCTCCGAGGCAAGGATCAATCTTTAATAATGTCATGCTGCCCATTGACAAGTCACACGCTTAGGTCTTTTTTTTTTAAATATGTGTATCGATTTCAGAGAGAGGGAGGGAGAGAGAGAGAGAGAGATGGACAGAGAGAGAGACAGATCAGTGATGAGAGAAGCATTGATTGGCTGCCTCCTGCAAGTCCTCTACTGGGGGTCAAGCCCGAAACCCGGGCAACGGGCCCTGACGGGGAATCAAACCGTGACCTCCAGGTTCATGGATTGATGTTCAACCTCGGAGCCACACTGACTGGGCACAGGCTTAGGTCCTGTGTTGACAGTGGCAACTTACAATGAGTTTGAAGGTTCTGAGCACCAGACTGGCCTGCAGGGAGCAGACACTCATTCCTTCTGAGGTCCATCCTGGGCCTGTACAGAGCAGCAGCTGCTGTGGCTTCATCCGCGTATTCACCGACTTTACAAGGAATTATATAAACACACAGACGTCCCCTAGTGTTCCTATAGTCAGGAATGGCTAATTAGCATTGAAAATATTGTCTCTGGTGAAACAGACCTCTCCCATGTTCTTAAACAGCTATGCAGAGATTATAAAGGGAATTCAAGATCCTAGATCAGAGGACAGCAAGCTTTTTCTGTAACAGCCAGAGAATAAATGGCGTATGGTCTCTGTTGAAACTCAAGTCTCTCCTCATAGTCTGACAGGTGTGCCTGTATTCTAATCAAAGTCTGAATGTGAATTTCATGTAATTGTCATTAGGCTCCGAGGCTCGGCTGGACTCCAAGGCGAGCACCAGCCTTTAATGATGTCATGCTGCACATTAGCAAGTCACATGAGTTCAGAGCGTCTGAGCACCAACCCCAGGCCTGTAGGAAACACACTCATGCCAACCCCCATTCGTTCTGAGTCCCGCCATGGGCCTCACCGAGAGCAGCAGCTGTGTGGACGGTTTCGTACACCTGTACGCCAACTTCCCACAGAATTACCAGCCGACCAAGTCCCAGATCTGAAGGCTCCGCGTTAGGAGGGATGGGTCAGAATTAGGGTGAGGGAGCGGGAGTGCACTTGGCCGTCTTTCCATCCTCTTGACTAGCTGGGCCCCGTCACCAACACGAGAAGCTGGTTTTTGTTTCTGGTTTCATCACAGCAGTGTGTGTCTGGCTTGTCCAAAATTAATTTTATGGCTTCATGGGCAGCAGCCCTAGCAGACACTGGTTTTTGGTCGGTCGTCAGGGGCTAACGCGAGGGTGAGCCTCCTTCTGACAGCTGAACCAGGGCGAACCTTCGGGCCCGGGGTCTAGGGCCTGACTCTGCGAGAGCCCGGTGTCGCCAGCAGGGGGAGCCCTTGGCCAGAAACCCTGGCCCCGGAGAGGGATGGGGAAGGCTGGGGCCCAGCTCCAAACGCTTAGAGCAGAGTCTGAGCAGATGCCCATGGGCCACACCGTCTGGCAAATATCAGGACATGGGCGCTGCCAGATGAGGCACCAGACTAACTGGAGATGGGGGCACAAGTGAGGAGAGACGCTGCTGAGTCAGAGCGGCCCTCCTCGCTGGTTCCACGGGCACCCTCTGCGGGGTGGCAGCCCAGGCTTCACTGCACCCTCACAGTCCTCCGGGCCACGGCCCTCTGCACCCAGCTGGCTGATGCCCCCGAGGGCACCACAGTGCGGATGCCAGCACCTGCCTGCAGCAGGCCGCCAGCCGGTCCCCAGCTGTGCTCACAGCACAGGCTGGGTGGGGATTCGGGAGCTAGGCCCAGCAGGTTCCCTAATCCCTGGCTCTCCACCAGTGATCATTCCCAGGATCTCTATGGGATATACTTAAATATACCCATTCCCTCCCGCTGGCTGTTCAAAGACCTGAGCCAAGTTATCTCCCAGCTCTCCTGAGAGTCCCCTCTCGCTTGGGCAGGTATTTAGGAAGCTAAGCTCTTTGCACGAAGTTAGCGAGCTAATAGCTGCCCATTCCCTTCTCCCTCCTCCCCCCTCCCCCGTCCCTCATGAGCTGTGCCCCCCACACCACCACCCAGGCGGTCAGATGCCCAGCACGTTCATACATCAGTCTCCTAAGACTCTGGGTAGCGTGAGCTGGTTCCTCAAACATGATCAAGTCCAAATTTACTGGAAAAAAAACAGTTCTGGTGCCTCAGAGTTACATCAGACCCTGAGCCACGACGACCTTCTAAACGACCAGCCACCCACTTCTGCGGCATCTCTGAAATACGTCTCCAGATCCACGGCATGAAGGGTTTCACCGCGTAACATTCCAGTTCTGAGTCACTGTCCGGGAAGCTGAGCCGATACTGGCTGGGACGGAGGGTTAACGTTAGAGTTAGGGTTCAGGTTAGGAGCTGGGAAGGAAGGGGGAGCCTGAGATGGTCCCCGGCACTGCCTAGGTTGGTAAATGGCAATGGAGGTACCGGAAATAATCTGGAGGTGGGTAAGCCAGTGGTAGCAGAGACTTCAGGCGATGGCACAAAGGCTGTTGGAAACGTGGAATCGGAGGCCTCCCTGTAAGAGTTGAGGAAGCCAGCTTGTTAATAAACAACCAAAGCAGGGACCGAAGTGTAAAGACAAAGCAGGCGGACACCAGCGTTATTTCTGCAGGACGTGTTGGAGGCAGGTGTAGATTTTCACGGTCCCTTAATAGACTGGGCGTTATTATTATTTTTGGTAATCCTCGCCTGAGAATATGTTTTTTCCATTGGCTTTTCAGAAAAAGAGCAGGAGGGAGGGAGGGAGAGAGAAGCACCAATGTGAGAGAAACACGCTGACTGGTTGCCTCCCACACGAGCCCCGACGGGGGCCAGGGGCAGGGAACTAACCTGCAACCCAGGTACGTGCCCTTGACCGGGAATCGAACCGGAGACCCTTCGGTGCGCAGGCCGACGCTCTAACCACTGGGCCACACCGGCCAGGGCTGCACTGGGTATTATTTGCACGTCCCATCAGGAGCCTGCCCCGCCCTTGCGATTAGCCAAGGAAAACCGGAATCCAAGCCCACAGGGAAGGAGCCCCTGCCCCCGCCCTGGACTCCGCAGCTGAACGGAACGGGTCCAGGGTGCGGTTGACACTCGTCGGCCCTGCACTGATTTTCCCTAAATCGACTGAAGCTATGTGACCCAGTTCACAAGAAAGACAAGCGGAAGTAAAGCGTCTAGACCCGCGGGGAGAGAAAACCCGGGGTGAATGTTTAACACGCCTGCCGCGCCTCCCCAGCGGCTGTTTGTTTGACCTTGAAGTTTCCAGGGAGGAAGGTGCCTCCACACCGGCTGCCTCCGGCCCAGGGCCCCGCTCAGCAGGAGGCCCATGAAGGAAACCGACGGAGTCGCAATCATGACAGCCGCCCTTATCAAATGCCTCCTTCCTGCAGTTCACTCTCAAGACTTTCTGTAGTTTATATTAGTTGTTAAAATAACTGAGCAGGTGGCCTGGGCAGTGTGGCTCAGTGGTTGAGCGTCCACCAGGAGGTTGAGATTCGACTCCGGGTCAGGGCACGTGCTCGGGTTGTGGGCTGGTTTCCCCCACAGTAGGGGGGGAGCAGGAGGCAGCCGATCGATGTTTTTCTCTCTCATCATTGATGTTTCTCTCTCTCTCGCCCTCTCCCTTCCTATTTCTCTAAAATCAATAAAAACATATTTTAAAAAAAAAGGGGGGGAGGAGCTGCT